TACTGCCACCACTTCACTCCTCTGGTATCACAGCTCTGTATCTCCTGGACCAAGGAGGTTCAGTGCATAGGGATCCTAGAGTCCAGAATGTGTTCCACTCCTGGCTCTTCTTTCTCATGGTACTTATATCCCCATCTCTGTTTCTGAGATAGCTCATTTTAAACCTAGTGGGCTGGCAAAACTGACCAATCTCCTCATTGGAATCCTATCCACCTTATATATATATGGTCTGCTCAGTCAGTTGGTGGGAGTTACAAAGACTATGACTAGAAGAGCCATATCAAGTAATGCACTGCACCACAGCATATATGCAAAACTACTTATCCATACAATGACAAATATTTCTCAGTGACTCCAGAGTCACACTACCAGTGTTTGCTTGCTATTAACGAAACCTTGGGCATGTTACTAAACTGACCTATAAAATGAGTTAACAACCTCATAGGTTGCTGCTAAAAGTAAAAACACTGGAATACATTCATCAAGGAGACCTCTAGTGGCACAATGAGTTAAGCAGTGGGCTGCTAACAGAAAGTTCCATAGTTCAAACCCACCAGCCACTCAGTATGAGAAAGATGAGACAGGCTCCTTCCAAAAAGATTTACAGTCTCAGAAACCCTATGGAGCAGTTCTTATAGGGTGGCTATGAGAAATGACTCAACAGCAGTGGGGCCTGAGCAGGAACAGCTGTAGACAAAACAGATTTAAATGCATTTTCAAGGTGCCTATAATGTAGTGGGAGTCTTGGTGTGGCGCTGTGGGCTAATGCACCAGATTGCAATGCTGTCTGAACTGCAGGTCAGCAGTTCAAGCTCACCAGCAGCTCCTCAGAAAACCTATACAGGGTCGCTATGGGTCAGAACCGACTCAACAGCACTTAACAACAACAACAATAAGGTAGTGGGAAGTCATTACTTAGTAAATTTTGAGTTAAAGTCCATCCAGAGGCACCTCGAAAGAAAGGTGTGAGGATCTACCTCCCAACATTAGCCATTAAAAAAACGTAGGGAGTTCAACTCTGACACACATGAGCTCGGATCAACTTCAAAGCAATTAGTGGTTTTACACTGTAGTGAAGAGAGAGAAAGAATATACAAATAAAATATATAGTATGTTAGGTGGAAAAAAACAAGTCTGATGATTAGTTAGTAATTACCTACATTCACTTGTTAACAGCAAAATAAAATATCATTTAACATAATAATGAAATATAATATTTAATGAAGTATGTAATTTGTACCTTTTCTCTCAATTTTTTAACTGCTTAACTCATTTCTAAGGTGACACAGTACAAACAACCAACTTAATAACTAGACCTAAATTTTAGTTCTGACCTAGAAGAAGTCATTTAATTCCAAGAGGCTGTTTTTTAACTCTATAAATTTCAAATTCCATTTCTATAGGCTTATTATAATGATTAAATAAGATAGAGTATGACAAGAAAAAGATATTGTAGTATCTCAAAGTATCTCTTCAAAAATATTCATGAGGCAAAGAGTAAATTTTCAATGGCAAAATCTGGTAGACAATCCCCTTCTTTAACCAAGTAATTAAAATTACCAGTAATGAGACACACAGGTAAGATCACGTGCTTCCTTCTAAAACGCACTTTTTCAAAGCCACAACATCTCTGTAGTATACTTCCAAAAATGCAAAACTCAATGATAATGATGAGTAAATATAAACAAATCTTGAAGGACATTCTATAAAATAAATGGCCAGTACTCTTCAAATTAGAAAAGAGGTCTCAAATCAATGACCCCAGTTTCTAAATCAAAAAACCAGGTTAAGAGTAAATTAAACCCAAAAAAGCAAAAGAAAAGAAATAAAATCAATGTAATAGAAGAAAAAAATAATATAAGAAACTAGAAGATGGTTCTGTCAGAAGGTCAGTGAAAATTTAGAAGACTGATCAGGGAAAGAGAGAAGATAAAAATTACCAAGATATCAGTACATAGTACACAGATATTTTAAAGGAGGAGGGAGGAAGGGGATATTATGAACTTTATACCAACAAATTGATAAACTTTAGATGAAATGGAGAAATTCTATGAAAGACACAAGCCAAAGAATACTAAATAAAAAAGCACATTTTAATTTTTAATTTAAAACCTTCCCACAAAGAAAGCTCTAGACCCACATGGTTGAATTCTACCATACATTTAAGGAAGAAATAATACTAAATCTACCCAAAGTCTCCCAGAAATTGACAAAGAGGGAACACTTCCTAACTCATTCTACAAGGCCAAGCATTACCTTAATAACAAAAACAGAAACATTCTAAGAAAACTACTGTGCAATATCCCTCACTAAAATAGATTCAATCAATGTAATTCACCATACTAACACATTACAAAAAAAAACCTATATGATCATCTGAAGACGCAGAACGAGCATTTAGCAACATGTAATATCCATTCTGCTGCACAAGATCTCTTTAAAGTATTGACAAGCAAAGATGTCAGTTTGAGGACTAAGGTGCGCCTGACCCAAGCCATGGTATTTTCAATAACCTCAGATGCATGTGATATTAGATAGTGAGTAAGGAAGATCGTAGAAGAATTGATGCTTTTGAGTTATGGTGTTGGAGGAGACTATTCAAAGTACCATGGGCTGCCAAAAGAACAAACAGATCTGTGTTGGAAGAAGTATAGCCAGAGTGCTCCATGGAGGACAGGATGGCCAAACTTCATCTTTCATACTTTGGACATATTGTCAGATGGGACCAGTTACTGGAGAAGGAGATCATGTTTGGTAAGGTGGAGAGTCAAAGAAAAACAGGAAGACCCCCAGCAAGATGGATTGGTACAGTGGCAGCATCAATAGGCCTAAGTGTAGCAATGATTGTGAAGTTGGCCCAGGATCAGGCAGTGTTTTGTTCTGATGTGCACAGAGTCATTATGAGTCAGTACCAACTCTATGGTGCCTACCAACAATAACAGTATCCATTCTGATTAAAAATGTTCTTCACATTAGGAATACTATAAGAAAGAGTACCTATGAAAAACCTATCACTAATATCATACTTAACAATCAACTATTGAAAGCATTCTCTGTGAGATCTGGAACAAGATTAAGTATATTCACTCTCATTACTTGAATTCTTCACTCTCACTACTTGTATTCCAACAGTGTACTAATAGATCTAGCCAGTGCACAAAGACTAGAAAAACAAGTAAAACCATCCAGATTAGGAAGAAAGATGCATAACTGTCTTTATTCAAAGACAACATGATCATCTATGTAGAAAATACAATGGTTGGTGGTTGTTGTGTGCCAGAGTTAATTCCGACTCATAGCGACCCTGTATAGGATTTCCAAGGCTGCAACTTTTTACAAGCACAGAAAGCCTAATTTTCCTACCATGGAGTGATTGGTAGATTCAAACTACTAACCATATGGTTAGTAGCCCAACTTGTAATCCACTATGCTACCAGGGCTCCAATAGAAAACCCAATAGAATCCACAAATACACTATCAAAAATAAACTGACTTTAAAAAAAATAATAAATAAAGTGACTTTAGCAAAATGAAGTTAAAGGATACAAAAAGCACTTTGTTGTTGTTAAGTGCCATTAAGTCGGTTCTGACCCATAGCAACCTTACATAGGGTTTCTAAGAAGCAACTGGTGAGCATGAACTGCTGACCTTGTGGTTCAAATGACTTTTCAGTCCAGTTCATTAACTCACAGCACTGCAAAAATAAATTTTAAAGGTAAAGATGGAGATGACACCATCAGAAAGAGTAAAAGACAATAAAAGAAAATGGAAAAGAATATAAAGAATAGGAAAAGGGAAAGAATAAAGGAGATGTGGAGAAAAAAATCAATAGTTACATATATTACAAAAATACAATATAAAAGTCACTTCTTGCTGAACTTGACCTACACTCATGGATATAGTAGCTCAAAATACCAACAGAGAGGGAAGGAGTTTTCACATCAAGTTATCAATCCTATCCCCTCTATACACAGGGTAGATAGGGACAAGCAACCTAGACATTGGCTACCTAAGGGGGCAATAAAGGCACGAAGTGACTGGCTCACAAGTCTTCAAGAGGGAGTTTAGTTTAAGAGTGTGCAGGGGAAGACAGAGTCTCCACTGAATAGTTTTCAATTTGTCTAGAAGGGTCTGGAAGGAGATCTGGTAGCATAATGGTTACAAATCTGGCTGCATACCGTAAGGTCAGTAATTCAAAACTACCAGCTGTTCCCCAGGAGAAAGATGAGGCTTTCTGCTCCCATTAAGATTGACAGCCTCGGAATCCCTGTACAGGGTCGCTATGAGTCAAAATCGACTCTATGGCACATAACCACCAGAAAGTCTGGTGAAAAGAGATGGGGATAAGAGTTTTATGACTCAATAATAATTGTTATCATTACTATTGTGACTGTCACAATATAGAAGTTTTATAACAAAAACAGGGGAGTAGTTAATCTTACAGTACAGAAACAGAGGACGTCAGGACCATCAGGAGGGAAGAGCACAAGCAGAATGCAGGACCTTATCCAGAAAAGCAGGGACACCAGAGATGGAGGCAGAGATGGGGACATGGAGAGAGGGAGTAGCTGAGGACTCTAGACTCATGGAAAGAGAGGGACTGCGTGCTGGTAGCCTGGAGGCAGGTTTGCAAAATGTGCCCTTTGATTGTGTAAATCATTATATATTCCTGAGTATTTTTGTGTACATTTCCCCACCATCCCCCCCAACTCCACCCCCACCCCCCAAAAAAAGAAAAACGGAGGGAATGGAAGCAAATATTGTTGAATGATGATGCACAGAGGAGACTGTAATCATTGCAATGAAACAATGGTATAAAACATATTCTCCCTTGTAAACTATCACACAAGTCACAATTTAAAAAAAAAAAAAAAAAAAGTCACTTTATGCAATCAAATTCTGGAAAACAGGTTAGATGGTCCAAGCATTTACATCTATATGACTAAAAAACAATCAAATGAATCAAATGTTACATAATATTTCAAAGTGTAGTAACTCACCTCTCTAGCAGCACAATCATGAGGAGCTTCTTCTTTATTTACTTTTCCTTTCGGAAATCCCCAGCCAGACTTTGCTAGGTATCCCTGAACTAGTAGTACCTACAAAACATGAAGAGATAAAACTAAAACTTGCCCTTCTTTCCCAGCTCCTTTCTAAATTATAGGTGTTGTCCCTGTCCCCACCCCCACGTACTTAAATGTTACCACCAACATTTTATACAGTAGTTGGTTTAAATATCTTCCATGAATCTAAATATACTATCAGTGTGAAGGAAAACACTCTGCACACTTAAAAATATATTTCTTCAATGATGAAATGACATTTCTTCATTTCTTTTCACTGAGTCACACTAAAACAATTGTAAAATCTTAAAACCCAGAATGCAAACTAAATATGTAAAACTTTTGGCCTTCTAGCACTAAAATCTAAGTATATTTAAAATCCCCAGTTCAAATTATTATGTAAATATTGTTGGCATATGCTTTGCTGTATAATCTCAATATCAAAATAAATAAAATTTAAAGAAAAAAATTTTGTAATTAACAAATACATTTTATTAATAAAGTAAAAATTATTAACTAATCATTTTGCTAAAAATTCTATTTTATTTCACTCACATTTTCAAGTGTCTCATCAAGAATAATTGCACCATATGTTGGTACTCCCATTTTATATTCCTTCCATTCATCCAAAACTTTTTCCACATCTTCACCTTGAGGCAGTAAAAATGGACAATGACTGAAAAGTATAAGTAGTGTCAAGGAAGCTGCTTTCTCCACTAATACATGTTGAGTAATTACAGAAAAATATCCATCTAAATCAATTATCAAATAGGATTTCAAGGTCTATCTTTAAGTACAATGTTTTCTGTGAGAGGATATTCATACACCTACAAGGAAAGCTAGTTAATAAAACTATTATTCAAATTTATACACCAACCACTACAGCCAGTGATTATGAAATTAAAGAATTCTACCAACTTCTTCAGTCTGAAACTGATCAAACATGCAATCAAGATGTATTGATAATCACTGGCAGCTGGAACGCAAAGTTTGCAAGCAAAGGAGGAGAATAAGTTGTTGGAAAATATGGCCTTGGTAATAGAAATGATACCGTAGAATGCACGACAGAATTCTGCAAGATCAACAACTTACTCATCTCAAATACCTTTTCTCAACAAAATAAAAGGTATATATAGTATTTCTCAATGCTATACATAGTGACCTCACCAGATGGAAAAACACAGGTATAAAACTGACTACACTTGTGGGACAATGGAGCTCAATATCATCAGACAAATCAAGGCCAAGGGCACACTGTGGAACACACCATCAATTAATTGCTCATATTCATGCTCAGGCTGAAGCTAAACAAAATTAAAACAAGCCCAAGACAGTCAAAATTTGACCTTAAGTCTGTTGTTGTTGATAAGAGTCGTCGAGTCAGTTCCAACCCATAGTGACCCTGCATAGGTTTTTCGAGGAGCAGTTGGTGAATTTGAACCACCAACTTGCAGCACAAACCAACTTTGCAGTCCAGTTTTAACCCACAGCACCCTACCAGGGCTCCTTAAGTAATCCCATCTGAATTTAGAGACCATCTCAAGAACAGATTTGATGCACTGAACACTAATGACTGAAGATCAGAAGAGTTGTGGGATGACATCAAGAACATCAAATACAAAGAAAGCAAAAGGTCATTAAAAAGACAGGAATGACGAGAAGACCAAAAGCGATGTCAGAGGAGATGCTAAAATTTAATCTCCAGTGTAGAGATGCTAAAGCAAACTGAAGACAAGATGAAGTAAAAGAACTGAACTAAAAATTTCTAAAGACAAATCGAGAAGACAAAGTCAAGTATTATAAAGAAATGTGCAAAGACCTGCAGTTAGAAAACCAAAAGGCAAGAGTACATTCAGTATTTCTCAAGCTGAAAGAACTAAAGAAAAACCTCAAGTCTCAATTTGTAATACTAAAGGATTCTATGGACAAAATACATAGTCCTGGTGTGGCACTGCAGGATAAACACTGGACTGCTAACTGCAAAGTCAGTGGTTTAAACCAACCAGGAGTTCTTCTGTAACCCTATACAGTTTGCTATGAGTCAGAATCATCTCACTGACACTTACCAACAACAGGGACACAATACTGAATGAACCAGAAAGCATCAAAAGAAGATGGAAGAAATATACAATCACCGTACCAAAAAGAATTGGTCAATGCTCAACCATTTCAATAGGTACCATATGAGCAATAACTGATGGCACTGAAGGTAGAAGTCTGGGGTACACAGAAGGCATTGGCTAAAAAGGAAAAAAAAAACAAAAACCTAAAGACTCCAGGAATTGAAATGCTTCAAAAACTTGATGCAGTACTGGAGGAGCAAATTAATCTATACCAAGAAATTACAAAGAAAAATTTACTTGGCTAATCAATTGTAAGAGGACCATGTATGTGTCCATTTTGAAGAAGACCAACCCAATATAATATGGAAATTAAAGGAGTTCTGGTAGTGTAGTGGTTACAAATCAGGCTGTGAACTACAAGGTCAGCAGTTCGAAATTGCCAGCTGTTCTGCGGGGGAAAGATAAGGCTCTCTGCTCCCGTAAAGATTTACAGCCTCGGAAACCCTGTACAGGGTCCCTATGAGTCAGAACTGACTCCACGGCACTTAACAACAACAACAAATCACATGCAAGTTATTTTTTGCTGAAGATAACTCAGAAACAGTTGTAGCAGTACACTGAAAGGGTGCTACCAGAATTCAAGCCAGATTCACAAGAGAACATGGAACAAGAAATATCACTGCTCACATCACATGGATCTTGGCTGAAAGCAGAGAGTAACAGAAATATGTTTACCTGTGCTTTATTGATTATGGAAAGGCCTTCAACTGTGTAGATCACAACAAAATATGGACAATATTGCAAAGAACGGGCATATCAAGATCCTTAACTATGCTCATGAGGAACTGTACATAGACCAAACAGCAGTAATTCCAACAGAATGAGGGGGTATTGAATGGTTTAATATCAGGAAGGGCATGTGACAGAGTTGCTATCCTTTCACCATGCTTTATTCAATCTGTGTGTTTAACGATAATCTGAGAAACTGAATTATATGCAGACGAATGTGGCATCAGAATAGGAGGAAGAGGATTTCAAATACTTACTGTTGAAGATCAAAGACTATAGTAGGGATTACACCTCAATGTAAAGAAAATAAAAATCTTCACAACAGGATCAATAAAAAATAATAAATGGAGAAAAGACTAACTTGTCAAAGACTTCATTTTGCTTAAATCCACAATCAACACTCATGCAAGCAGCAGCTAAGAACTCAAACTAAGTACAGCATTAGGCAAATCTGCTGCACCAAACTTGAGGACTAAGGTGCACCTGACACAAGCCATGGGATTTTCAATCATCTCAAGTGAAAGTTGGACAATGAATAAGGAAGAAAGGTGAAGAATCACTGCATTTGAATTACTGGTGTTGGAAAATACTGACAGTATCATGGATTGCCAGAAAAACAAACAAATGTATCTTGGGAAAAACACAGAATACTCTTTTGAAGCAAGGATGGCAAGATATCGACCCTTTAAGTTGGACCCTTGTAAGTTGGACTGGAGCACATCATGTTCAGTAAAATAGAGGGTCAACAGAAAAGTCCCCCCTCACTAATGAGACGGATTGACACAGTGGCAGCAACAATGGACTCAAAGGTGAAATTGTGAGGAAGGCGTAGGAATGAGCATAGTGTTGTTATGAGTCAGAACCCAGCTGACAGTACCTAACAATTTTTGGAGTACTGGTATGGCACTGTGGGCTAATGCGCTGGACTGCAAGATTGGTTTGAACTGCAAGGTCAGCAGTTCAAGCTCATGGAATCAACTTGACGACACAACAAGCACAAGATTTTGGAATAGCTATTAAGTGGCAAAATTGGTAATCTGGGTCCACAATTTAAGCTATTAATATTTACAGTATGCAGCCTCTCCACTCCAATATTCCCAAGGTACCACAAACTCAACTTATCCATACTGAGTCCACCATTTCCTCCACAAAATTTCTCATTTCTTTTGAATATGAAAGCACATCTATCTACTCAACTGCTCAAACCTGAAACCTGGGTACCATCCTTGATTTGCTTTTACATCTCAGACATCCAAGTTATCACCAAATATTTTCCTAAGTATCTTTCAAATTTTACTTACTTCACTTCACAATAGGCTTCCATTAACCTTCTCATTAATTGGTGAAATAATAGATAGGTTCTCGTTCTCCAGTCTTACCTTCCCTCAATTAATTATCTATTCTATTCCAAAGTAGCTTTCCAAACACCCTTTTAGAGAAAAATAAGACAAATGATGTAAAATGTTAATAATGAGCATATCCAAATGGCTATTAGGGGCAGTTCACTGCAATTCTTTCAACTTTTCTGTAAATTTCAGTTTTCCAAAATAAAGTTTAATTAAAAAAAACAAAAACTCCTGTATTTCTCTATTAAGGAGTCCTGATGGCACAATGATCAAGCTCTCAGCTGATAACCAAAAGTCAGCAACTTGAGCCCACCAGTCACTCTGAGAGGTAGAAAGATGTTGCAATCTGCTTCTATATAAAGATTACAGCCTTGAAACCCTATTCTGAGTTGGAATCAACTCCATGACAATGGATATTGTTTTTTATTCTCTACCGATCTTATGAATAGAGTCCAAACAAATATGGTCTACAAGACTCTTACTAACTTTAGTTTCCAATTAGCCCCTAACCCTCCAGCATCATCTCTATTCCTCACAATCTCTACACTTAAATCATATTCACCTTTTTTCACTTCCTTACACAGGTCTTAACCAAGAAGTCTTCTACCCAGCTCTCAAATCTGGGTTAGGTATTGTACTAACCTATCATAAATTACAAAATTACACTAAGTTAATTTCCTTTTCTTTCTCTTTCTTCTTATAGATTAAGTACACCAGTATTCTCCAGACTATAAACATCCCTGTAGTTATTATGAACCCTCATAAAGCCTTATTAAAAATCCAAGAGATATACAATGGTTCATAACAAATGGGAGCTACTTTGCAATGTGCATCAAAACATTATCATTATTTTTATATTATGTTCAGATGTTTTACTGTATCTGGAAGTATTTCTTTACTGTTTTTATACATAAATACTATACACTAAGACAAACACTTGAATAACTGCAGTTGAAACCATACCTAGCTATTCCAATTTACATTAAAAATTTGACTTAAAGATAAATTTAGGAGCAGAACTTTCATAATCCGTGGAATGTCTGTACCTTATTCATTGCTTAATGCCAAGTCTATTACATTAGTAATAAGTTTCTTCTCTGTTAACATAATTGAAAGAAGCAAACTAAAACAAGCTTTTTCATTTTTAATAGGTAGGAAAGTTTAAAATTCCTACTTGTGCACACCAGGGGAGCACTGTGGCTCTGTAGGATAAGCACTGGACTGCTACTCACAGGGCAAGTGGTGTGAGCCCACCAGATGCTCCATGGGAGAAAGATGAGGTTTTCAACTCCTATAAAGATCCACAGCCTCAGAAATCCTATACGAGGTGTCTATGAGTCAGAGCAGACGCAAAAGCACTTAACAGCACATGTGTATACACACACGCACACACACACACACAGATTTTTTTTCCAGAAACCCAAAGTATGCAATGTTGCACTGATAAAATCCTGTCTCTGCAAAACACTACAATGCCAAAAGATTGAAAAGCTGTTTAAGTTTCTTTAGTTAGACTGTTGTGGCTAAGTCAAGTTGGTTCTGAGCCATAGCGACCTTAGTCAGTTCTGACCCATATCAACCCTGCATGGGTTTCCAAGGAGCGGCAGCTGGGTTTGGAACCATGATCTCGCGGTTCAAGCTGACCTTGCAGTTCTGTGCATTATCCCACAGCACCACACAGTCTTCTATACATTCTCCATGGAGCCTATCATTGAATCTTTAACAAAGCGGGTGCTCAAGGGACCTCCATTCCCTTTGATTCCACATTCACTTTTATATAGTTCATCAACCAGTTTAGTCATTTCTTCCTTTGAAATCTGTCTCCTATCAGTCATTTCTTTGCCAGCCCTCTACTAGGGTTAAGGACCCTATTGCTCCATGTCTCAAGTACTAGTCTACCCTACATTCAATCTATCCTGCTAATTATCGTCTTCTTGAATATCATTTCCAAATGATCTGAGTAACATTCTTTACCCTTACTCAAAAACTGTCTATGGTTCACAGTTATCTAGAATAGTATTTCATCCATTTTCTACAGAGTCCGGGGTGCTCCTTATTTCAGGGGGCTCAGGGAAATTGGAAAAGAACTAAGTGCAAAAGTATTTTGGGCCCCCTGCCCATACTCTAACTCTAGCTTAGTACACTGGGTTTGTGGTTATACAGAATTATAAACAATGACTACACAGTAAAAACCAAAGCACCTTGGCTCAAGATGTAAGAACTTTCAAAAGTCCCTTCTTTATCTCTTTTTATAGATCTATAAATCTATTATCTATATTTCTTATTATGGAGTCTATTCAATGACAGCTAATTTAATTCCTAACATACCCCTTACACTTCCCAACTCCCAAATTCCAATCAGTTTACCACATCTGTTTAGAAGATCCTATTTACCTGAAAAAATACAGCTTTCCCTAAATCTTTCCATCTTTTTCTAAAGTCTAAAAACAATATCAAGACCAGTAATAATTCATCATTTTCACCTTTTAACACTGCTTTTTTTAAACTCTTAAATATTCATGCAAATCTGTTTCAGAGAACTATTAACCACAGAAAGTTTTTGAGTAAGGGTAAAGATTATTACGCATATCACTTATATTTTCCAGAGAATCAAAAATACTTCTTTGAACTTGTTGTCATTGTTGTGTGTCACCAAATCAATCCCAACTCATAGTAACCCTACAGGGTTTTCTAGGCTTTAAATCTTCACGAGAATAGATCACCAGGCCTTTTTTCCTGTGGAGTCTCGGGGGGTAAGCACCTTAGTGCTTAATCACTGCACCACTAGGGCTCTCTGCTCTGAACACAGTGATCATGTAATGATTTAAGAAACTTCTCACCCAGAGAAGTAGTGACTTAATTAAAGATTTTGTGGTTGAATATAGTAGCAAAAGAAAAAAACAGAAAAGTCCTAGAAATAGGCTAGCTTTAAGGAAACCTGAATTTAATTCTAATGATTAGTGTACATTTCAAGGGGGCTTTTTTTTTTTTTAATACTATTAATCTGTGACTACTATTTATATTCACTATACAGGGTCGCTATTAGACGGAACCAACTCCATGGCACTTAACAATAAAAACAACAAATTTATATTCACTAATTTTTAGAAAGGTATTACAGTGGCTTCACAGAGTAAGCACCAGACTGCAAACCAGAGGTCTGAAGTTCAAGCCCACCAGCCACTCCTCAGTAGAAAAATGAGGCTTTCTGCTCCTGTGAAGATTTAAAGTCTCAGACAGTCTATACAGGGTCCCTATGAATAGGAACTGACTCCTAGGCCTTTAACAACAACAATTTTAAAAAATCAAATGCTTTACCTATAGGCTATAAATCTCAATGTGGGAGAAAGATGAGTTTTTTTTGCTCCACTAAAGATTTAAAAAGCTTTGGAAATCCTTTACAGGGTCACTATGAGTTGCAACCAACTCGATGACACTTAACAACACCACAATAAATTTCAAAGACATACAAATGGAAATTTATTTGTGCTAAAATATTTTATTAACAAGAATGAAAGACAAAAAGGATATCAGCTTTAGCAAAGTCTCTTATCCCACACTGAGGTAATCCTGGTGTGTTCTGCATGTAGAAATCCAAGTAAAACCAATGGGCAAGTTCAATCTGAAAACACACTCGAATTGCATTGTCTCTTTCCTCGCTCGGAATATGCAATATAAATCGGCTGTCAAAAAATAAAACACACACAAAAAATTACATTTATAAGACATGATCATTTATTTTAGCCTACTCAATTGCTTCATCCTTGGCCCATTAACTCAGAAGAAAGACCAGATTAAGGAAGCAATATTTGGGAGAAATTATTATAGAGAAAACAAATATTTAAAAAATAGAACTATATGACTTGTATGTCACTCATAAGACTTTTAAAAAGAGCCCACTTACCCTCTGCTTCCAGTAAGGAGATAAAATAAGACAGCACACTCGTGCTAGCAACACATTACAGGTGAGCAAGAAAACAACCTATATCAGGAACTCCTCCAATGCCTGGTAACATTTCCAAGGGCATATGTCACATAAATATATGCTACACTATAAATGTCTAAATGTACACAATACCATATATGTACTAATGTAGTGATTAGTTTTTATTAAATAGAAAAATCAGAATTTATGTATCTGAATAAATGTCATTTACAGCAGTTACCAATTACATCTTCTTTCTACCACTAAGCATTTTTGGTGAGTTTTTCCTAGCAGTCTTCGAAAACACTTTTAACTACACCAAAAAAAATTTAGAAGTCCACTGGCTTTTCAAGTTACCTTTTTTTAAATAAAAATGTTTGATAATTTACATTAAACATAAAAATGTTCAATCATTTATATTATTTGTAATAATGCTTAATCATCATATACATTAGCTATGGTTCTGAATAATTTTTGGCTGTCTCCAAGTTTCAAATCAAACCTCAAAAAACAATTCTTAAAAAACAATAATGTCCCAACAGGGGTATGAGTGAGGTAAGGAAATGATCTAACAAATACATGCAAAACAATCTACATTTCAATATGAAAAAAATTCTGGAAAAAAGAAGCTTAAATTTTACATATACTAACAGCAAATTGTATAACATACTAGTTAAATGGCATTATTTAAGATATACTTTTCTGTATGATGTTTGGGAACTGGTTCCTGTCCATATATACTCCATCCCTCTACTGGTTTCTTTATATACAAGAGGCTTCAAATTTATGGAAAAATAAAATTAAAACACAACAGACTCCTCTCTAAGACTGAAACTCAAAGGCAACACATAAGCAGGCATGGAAGCTTGCTGATGTCACATTAGTCTACTGGTGAGTTAAAGAGGGGGAAAGGCAGCAATGAAGAAATGGGCTGAGTTCAACCTCGTTCCATAGACTCCCGCTGACTTGGAGATGAGAGCAAAGGAAGGGCTGGTTGGTCCATGTGTGGTGAGAACTGGGGAACCTGAGCCCATGGATAAGCACATAGCCACAGAGGGCTAGAGCTAAGAGTGAAGCATCTAGCTGATATGAAGTGAGGGGAGACACACAAGAAAACACAAACTTGCAGATAGTACCCATTTGACCTAGCCTCAATGACTATCGATAATCAGATGTAGACTAGAGAAAGATTTAAAAAAAAATTTTTTTGAAAAAGGAAAAGAGGGTAAATTGCTACAATTTGATGAACTTGACCTTTACTCAAGGAGGTAGTAGCTCAAAATACCAACAGAGCGATAAGGAATCTTCACATCAAGGACCAATGCTATCCCCTCTATATACAGGATAGACAGGGATCGGCATTAGACATTGGTTACCTAAAATGAGGGGTGATAAGGGTTCACAGTGACTGGCTTACAAGGTTTCAAGAGGGAGTTTAATTTGAGTGTGTGAGGGAAGACAGAGTCCCCACTGAAGATTTTTTTTAGTTTTCATCTTGTCTAGATGGGTCTGGTATAAAAAAGATGGGGATAAGATTCTTATGATTCAATCATAATTGTTATCATGACTAATTGTGACTGTCACAATTGTAAAGGTAGAAGTTTTATAACAAAAACTTTGTGTAACAAAAAAGAAGTAGTTAAGCTTACAGTCCAGAAACAAAAGACCCTAGGACCATCAAAGGAGAAGAGCACAAGCGGAATGCAGGACCTTATCCAGAGAATCAGCGATACAAGAGATGGAGGCAGAGATGGGGACATGGAGAGAGGGAGCAGCTAAGGACTCTAGATTAATGGAAAGAGAGGGACTGAAAGCTGGTGACCAAGAGGCAAACTTGTAGAATGTGCCCTTTGGAGGTATAAATTATTATATCTGTCTGAGTGGGTTTTATTGTTTTTTTAAAAAAAAGGTAAAGTGAATAGAGAGAAATACTGTTAACTAATGGTACATGGAGGGGATTATAATCATTGTAATGAAAAAAGGTGTATGATTTGTTGAATATATCACTGATAATCGGCCCTGTAAAGTTTCACTCAATTCATAATAAAAACTTTTTAAAAAACCAAACAAAACATAATGGACTAAGCAAGAAGTGACTGGCTTATAAGTTTTCAAGAGGGAGCCTAGATCCAGAGGGCGTGGAGGAAGGTAGAATCTCCACTGAGTAGTATCGAATCTGTCTAGGTGGGGCTGATGAAAGGAGATGTGGACAGGACTCTTGTGATACAATAGTGAATAATTGTTATCAGGACTGATTATGAGGGTTGGAAATGTAAAGGTAGACATTTTGTAGTAAGGAGGGGAGTGATTAACTTTGCAGTCTAGGAGCAGAGATCCCTGGGACCATCAAGGGAAAAGAGCAGAAAGCGACACCCAACCCAGAGAAGCAGTGATGCCAGATATGGAGGCAGAGACGATGACATGGAGAGATGGAGCAGCTGGAGACTTTAGACCCAGAGAGGGAGAGGGGCTGTGTGCTGATGACCAGGGAGCAGGTTTGCAGAGTATATACTTTGGTTGGTTGATGATGCATGGACGGGATTGTAACCATGACAGTGAAACGATATGCTACAGGATGAATGTAAAACAAAAGTTCTCCCATGTAAACTAGCACATAATTCACAATAAAATATTAAAAGAAAAAAAAAACCCATAATGGACTTTTTCCATGAACTTTTTGAAGCCATTTCATAATAGCAGAGAAATGCCTAATTTTTTAAAGCTGTCTGAAGTTACCATCCATGTGCTATATCAATCCTTAAGGAGTATGTATCTAGCAAACTCCTAACTCATCCTTCAAACTTATAAACATTCACTCTTCTATATATAGATAAATCAAATGCCTATGAAAAGACTTACACCTAGTCTCAGACTCTTGCTCCTTTCAGCTATTATGATTTTTTAATTAGCCACAAACCCTTCTAAATTAGTTCACTGCGGTAAAACACAGTATCTTTGTTATGTTTCTATTCCCAGACTCCAGAACATTTTCTGGCACATACAATGGGGATTCAGAAAGTTCATGGAAAGCTTGAATTAAAAGGTAATGGTGAGCCTGGGGCGCCAGCATTCACCGAAGACCCACCTGAAAGAGCATCTGCATCTCCATTGAGGCCCCACCCCACACCCCGCAAGAGCACCAAGGAGCCAGCCAGCCTTTTCCACAACAGAGAAGACTTGAAGAACTGTTTAGCCATTAGAGAACTGGTTAAACCCCAGAGACATTCTGCTGCTTTGCTTGTCTGGCGTGGGGAATGGGGAGTTAATAGATGTTACTGATTTTGTATTAAGATTGACATAGAAATTTAAAGAGACAGTATAGACATAAAACCAAACGGCCACCACTCGTCTGTCTGTCGTGCTGTGGTGGTTTCAGTTGCTGTGATTCTGAGGGCTATGCCACCGGTGTTTTAAATAACCAACAGGGTCACCCATGGTGCAAAGGTTTCAGATGAGCTACAAAACAAAGACAGACTAGGAAGAAAGAGTGACAAACTACTTCTGAAT